CCCGGCACCCGCACGGCTCAGCGGCCCCCCGAAAACCCATCTTGTCAAGTTCCCGGGACAATGCCAAGCACCAGGGGTCACACTGCAGGCCTTGGGGTGGGGACGACAGCCGTTCGAACTAGGACTTCTAGAACATTCTAAAATTGACTAGGGTACTGTAGCGGCAGGAGGACGCGGAGCAGGTTCTCTGGTTCCTGCAGGCGGGTGAAGGAGGAGTCCTGGCGCCCTCAGTGGCTTTTCAGGCCTTTACTGGGATTTTACTGGGTACACGGCAGGCAGGGGTGCTGGGGGGCCGGGAGGCTGCCAGGCCTCACTCTTCTGGGCTCTCCGGCCTTCTCTGGTGGTCTCTGCTTCTCTGCTCTCCTCTCTCGTGGTTCTGCGGGCGTCCCCGGGACGCCGCCCTTATAAGCCCCGTCTCTCAGCCCAGGTGTACCCACCTACGCATGTGCACACCCCACTCCAGGTGCCGCCATCAGGCCTGCATTCAGGGCCGCAGGGATCCATCATCCATCCTGATGGTGGGAGGGCAGGAAAGCCTGATACTTTTTCACTTCCCCTCCAGGTACAGACATAGTGCCCCAAGAGTTTCCTGATGGGGGAAGCTAAGTGAGCAGGCGTGAGCAGGGAGGCTTCCTGGAGGAGGGGGCAAGGCTAGAACTGAGACTTTGATAAGCAGCGGCTGAGCAAGACAGAGGGGAGGGAAACCTCCCGTGAGGTGTAACACTCATTCCACAGCAGGGTGGGGGCAGGGGTGTGAGGGCACCACAGGGGACTTGCCGAGCTCTCCCTCCCCGCAGGCCTGGCACCTGCATGTTCATCTGCAAGCTCTAACACGATGAATTCATTTTCATAGATTCTGGGGAAATATGACTTAGCTGTTGGACCCAGACATTCAGATACACGTGGGTGTCCTTTTTCAAAAAGATTCTTGAAAATTTGAGTCAAATGAAAGAAAACTATTCTCAGTGGGGGGGGGGGGTGCAGTGAGAACGTGGGGAGCAATCTCTCCAGATAAAGACACTCCTGGGAATCCCTGGGGACAATGCCTCATGGAAGCCCATTTGGGGTCCCTTCAACTGTCCTGGAAGCCTCTCCCAGAGCCGGCCAGAGGGCAGCTTCCTTGCGGGTAAAGAGGCTGGCCGGCGTTGGGGACCAAGGTCGTGCCCATTTAACAAACGAACCCATGTGAAGCTTACAGGGAACCCAGGAGCCAGCTGTTCCCACAGTGAGACACGTGGAGGATACAGCTCTCCTGCCTGGCGTTCCCTTGGGACACACACGCATGTGCACGCGCGCACACATACACGCACACGCACACTCACACACACACACTCACACACACCGTGCTTTGTGGAGACCGCCTTTTTTCATTTCTTTTTTCCTGGGCAGGTAAACCAGGACGTGGAAATTTAAAGTGCGTCTGTGATGCCGTTCCCAACAGGGAGGCAACAGTCTCCCCTCGTGGTTATCAAGCTAAAGCGGGGGGCACGGGGCTCACCTCACAAGGAAAGGGGACTTGGGAGTTTCAAGCCAGCCGTCTCCTGGGCCTGGAGCACGTGAGCTTTGGGCTGCGGTCTCCCCGCGACCGGCAGGGCCGCACGAGCCCCTCCGAGCCTCCCCCACTCCACAGCTGGGAGACAAATCCACCTCCGCCTGCCGCTCCCCGCCAGAGGGACACTCCCAGGTCTGGCTTCGAGAACCGACCAAGATTGGGTAATCCTTCTGCACGTAGGTGGTTTCCACTTTGCAGCTTCCCGCGAATGCGCAGCAAGGTCGAACGGACTTGTCAGCTGCCAGGTCAGGAAAAATCCCTGGGGATGACAAATCACCGCAGGATTTTTGCCCATTACTCAGGATTATCAGAAGGGAGTGGCGCGGCTTCCACACACCCCAGCACTCCCGGCCAGCTGTTTCTGTCAACAAGGCTTCTCCGTGCTGTGTCTTCAAAAATAAATACAGAACCGATGATGGAACGGACCGAATTCCAGCATCAAGGAAGCGTCATCACAGATGCAGAGATTAACTGAAAGGGGACAGGAAGGCCCACGCGTGCCATCACGAGACGCAACTCCGTGCAAATAAAGACCACGGGGAGGTAACACCACAGTGTTACCAAAAATTGTTAAAAACTGAATGTACCTCCGCACCAGCGAATAGGCAAAGCAGTGACACGCTCGCCCCTTTGCTGCGGACTGCAGGGTGCTCCCTCGCCTGCCCGGGGCCTGGAGTCCTCCCAGGGTTAGAGACCCAGCACCCCAACTCCTGGGGCATCGCACCCAAGGGAGCTTAAAGTGCAGTTTTCCACAAACACCTGTACTGGTGTTCATTGCAGCTTTTTATTCTTAATCCCCCCAAATTGGAGACAGTTTAAATGCCCTTCAACTTGTGCAGGGTTCAAACCCAGGGTCCACACAGGGGTCAGGATTCTACCCGTTGCTGCTGCCCCGGCCACACGCGGAGTCTCGGGCTCTGTGGGACAGCGGCCTGTCTCCAGCCTCTCCAAAGGCTGCACGCTGCATTTCACTTCCACGCCTTTCAGAAAAGGCAAAGCTTTCTGGTTGCCGCAGGCGAATCTGCCTGCAGGGTTTTATTGCAAAGGGAAGGAAGAGGAAATCGGGGCACCGGTGAGCGTGTCAGCAGCCAGGCTGGGTGTGGCGCACACAGGAGGACGCATGATCCCGTGCAGATGTCAGTTCTGCTCTGTACAGGACTGTACAGAACTTTAACCATAAAACAGTTAGGGCCTCCCTGGTGGCACAAGGGTTAAACGCAACCTTGAACCTATCCACAGCCTCTGCAGCACGAGTTCGATTCCCCACCAGCCAGGCAGCTACCCACATGGCGCAGCAGACCTCTCCTGTCTCCCCGCTGCTCCCCTCAGCAGTGCACTTCGTCAGTCTGCCTGTGCTGCTCCCCACTCTGGCTCTGGTGAATCCTCTCATTCCCCCACTTCTCTGGCCTGTGCCCCAGCTCTTGTATGCATAAATAAATCAATCTTTAAAAATAAAATAAAATAAAATAAAACACCTACAGAAAGGAGGCCCCAAAAAGCCTCAGGGCCCTGTTTGACGGATAACGAAACCTGGAAGCGCTAGGACGCCCTGATCACTGGCGACCCTGGGGGTGACGGCAGACCAGGCCCCAACCGTGTCACCTTGGCGGCCACCAGGAAAGTGAAAACACCCCTCGAAGCAGCCACCTCGACGCACACGGATGTTCATGTTACAGAGCGGTGCCAAAGGGTGATTAGTAAAAATACTTAGAGGCACAGACTGCGGACGGTCAGGCGGTAGCGGGGCAAGAAGGAAATGAAAGTCCCCGGGAGGCCGGCCTCCTGGCGCGCGCCCCCGGCCTCCCCGCGCGCCCCCGGCCTCCTGGCGCGCGCCCCCGGCCTCTCCGCACGCGCCCCCGGCCTCCCCGCGCGCGCCCCCGGCCTCTCCGCACGCGCCCCCGGCCTCCCCGCGCGCCCCGGCCTCCCGCGCGCCCCCGGCCTCCCCGCGCGCGCCCCCGGCCTCTCCGCACGCGCCCCCGGCCTCCCCGCGCGCCCCCGGCCTCCCCGCGCGCCCCCGGCCTCCCCGCGCGCGCCCCCGGCCTCCCCGCGCGCCCCCGGCCTCCCCGCGCCGCCCCGGCCTCGCTCCAGCAGGACCCTGCAGGGTGAGAACCGTATTTTCAAATAAAACATCAGTAACAGGCAGGGAATGTCTCATCCCTTGCAAGCCTCGGGTTTCGCACCCCCCCACCCCCCCACCCCCAAACCCGCATACAGTTCCCAGGGCCTCCGCCCCGCCCCGCCCGCAGCTCCTGCAGCTCCAGGCGCCCCCGCTGCAGGCGACCGAGTCCGCAAGCCTCACGTCATCATGGCGCCCCTTTAAAGCGGTAACGCCTGACGTCACAACCGCCCATCTTACATCATCACGGCGCCTGTTACCACCGCGTTTCTGACGTCCAGCGCCACCCTGTGCGTCATCACGGCCTCCAGTCACCACATCCGCGCCCCGCCGCGCACCTACCTGCCGCTCGCGGCTCGTCCCGGCCCGCTGCCCTGGGGGGTGGGGGGTGCGGGGTGGGGGGTGGGGTGGGGGGGCTGCTCCTTTCGGGCCCCCGGCGGAATCCGGTAGAAAGCGCGGGTCTCCTTCCCCAGAAGGCGGCCTTTTGCGCGAATCCCGGAAGGCCCGGCAGGGGTGCGGGGGGGGGCAGGGGTGCAGGATGCGGGGGGGCAGGGGTGCAGGATGCGGGGGGCAGGGGTGCGGCGGGCAGGGGTGCAGGGGCTGGCCCGGCCCCGGGCCCCCCAGCCGCGCCCGCCGCACGGCGGGGTGAAGCGGCGCCTTCCCGGCGCGTGGGCCCCGGACGGCCGCGCCGCCAGGTTCGAACCATTTCAGCCGAAAATTCGGTTTCGATCCTGATTGGAAAATGCGCTCGCGGCCTCCGGTCGCCTCCGCCGGCCCCTGCGGGCCGGGGCCGCCCCGCGGGACTGGACCCCACGAGCCGGACCCACGAGCCGGACCCCACGAGCCGGACCCACGAGCCGGACCCACGAGCCGGACCCACGAGCCGGACCCCGCTGGGAGCCCCGCCCCCCGCATCGTCTGGCGCTTGGGGCCGTCGGCTCCGAGGAGGCTGCGCCGCCGCCGCTCCCGGGAAGCCGGCGCGGAGGACCCGGGGCGCAGGGGACCCGGGGCGCAGGGGACCCCACGGGGCGCGGGTCCGGGGCGCGGAGGACCCCACGGGGCGCGGGTCCGGGGCGCAGCTGGGCGAGCGGCGGCGGAAGCCGCAGCCGGGAGAGGCCGGGCCTCTCCGCCCCGCAGACCCTGCACGGGCCGGCCGCGGTGGCCAGTCCCGGCGGGGCCCGGACGAGCCCGCCCGGGCCCGAGTCTCCCCAGGAGCCGCCGCAGGCCGCGCAGACAGGCGGGGGGCGCACCCCCGGGCTCGGACCAAGGTGGGCCGGGGAGCCTCCCCGGGCCACACCCCAGCAAACAGGCCGCACGTCTCTGGCATTTGGTTTTTAAAAAGATTTATTAATTTAATGGTAAGTTATTTTCAAAAGGCAATAAAATTAATTTCGCATCCAGTAGAAAAGAGACAGGCGTCCTCCAGAGAGCGGAGGGCCTGGGCGGTGGGCACGGACGGCGCCCCGACACCGGCCACCCGCCAGCGCGCTGGCCCCGGCGCCCCCGGCGCCCAGACAGCAGCTTCTGCACAGACGGGGCAGCACCCGAGGCCCAGCGCAGCCTGGACTTCAGGGGGTCGGAGGTAGGGGGGAGCAGCGTGTTCTGCCCTCAGGGGCGGTCGGTGTGGACTGCTCAGGGCTCCGGGGTGCGGCTGGGCCGGCCCACCAGCTGGGGGGTCCGCGCAGGCCGGGCAGGACCTGGGGGGGTGAGCCCCAGCCCGCACCGCTGTTTCCTGACAGGGAGCGCAGGCGGGAGGCTGCGAGAGTCCTCCAGAGCTGTGGCTCAGCGGCTAACAGGGTCGTCTGGGCTCTCCCCAGGCAGGGTGAGCGCCCCCTGCCCTGGCAGGCCCGCGGGCCCCTGGGAGAGAAGATTCCAGAATAGTCCTTGTTGATGAGTTTCTCCCGGGGAAATCTCGGCAGTGGCCCCATCCCTGAGCGGGTCTGAGCACAAATCAAACCCCACACTGAGGAGGGTATGGCGACGGGGGGCTCAGACTGTGAGACTGGCAGGCTGTCCACCAAGAGAGTCCTGAAGAAGTGGGGTGCAGGGGCTGGGGGGCCAGTCTGGTTGCGCGGTCAGGCAGGGCTGGCTGGTGGCATCATCGGGACCCTGTGGAGAAAGGGGCAGCTGGGTCACCCAGTCCCACGGCCCAGTCCTGCCCATCCCTGCAGAGTCCCCACCCCCTCCGCACAACCCCCCATCGAGCTGGAGTGGAGTGACCTGCAGACGCCAGGGAGCAGCCCCCAGAGCCCTCACCCCCACCTCCCTGACCTGCGCCCATTTCAGAGGTGGGGATGCTGAGAGCCCCAGGGACCGCGACAGAGAAGGGAGGTGGGGCCGCTGGGCGGCTCGGCAGCAAGGAAGGAGTGTCCCCCAAGAGGGGGCGCAGTGACGGCCACCAGGCAGCCCCCACCTGCACGGCCGCACCAACAGGAAGGAGCCCCCGCCCCACACCCCCACGGTCCGTGGAGACACAGACACAGCCGTGGAGGGCGCCCTGGCCATGGCGGCCCTGCCCGGAGCGAGGGACGGGGGCCGGGGCCAAAGGGCACGAAGGGGAAAGTTCAACAGGACAAAGGCTGACACTGCTGGGTCTGGCCCCACAGCTGGGGCTTGGAAAACCCCAGAACCCCCACGCCTGTGTCCCAGTGACGACCCCTGGGCTCGGTGCACCAGCCAAAGGGAAAGCAAAGCCCTCACCCTGGGCAGGACAGGGGGAGGCAGGACTCACGGCCCCGCTCCCCGGGACAGACCCTGAGCCAGTCAGGGCCGGGCAGCCTCCAGGGGTCCGGGCAGGGGTCCTGAGCGGCCCCCCCCGCCCACAGAAGCCCGGGGTGGCCAGAGCCTCAGCCATGCGGCCCACAGAGCCACGACCTGAGACTCAGGCAAAAGCGGAACAGGACACGGCCCGCGCGGGACCGCCCTCCGGGCCTCCCCGAGGACTGTGCGGCTGGCACTCAAAGAGCCGCACGACGGCGGGCTCCTCCTCCTCCTGCTTCCTCCCGCCGCTTCCCTGAGAAAGGACTTGGAGTGGGAGAAAGTTTAATGGGAAGATGGAAAGGGCCGGAAGCACGTCCCTAAAGGGCTGTCTGGCCGGTCACTGCACACGGCGCCGCCAGGAAGCGCTGCGGCAGGATGGTGCCCCCTCCGGAGCCCTCCGCCCTGGAGCCCAGCCTGTTCTCAGTCACACATAAATAGCCTCTGGGGCAGCGGGAGCCCCACCTCCTACTTTCCGCCAAGCAAGAGAGCCCCTCCAGCCCAACCCCAGGGGCAGGGCAGCGCCCCGAGGTTCCAAGTTTCCAGGAGGAATGCAGGCGCGGAACCCCAGCAGGGCAGGCACCCTCCGGCACAGAGGACTGGGGGGGGAGGCCTCATCTGTGAGTCACAAACGTTCCCAAGAACTAGAAAAGAGGCCTCTGCTGGGCAAAGAAAGAACCCGGGTTGTGGCTCACTGGGGCGTGGTGGCAGGACATCCTGGCGTGTCGTGGGGCTCAGACTGCAAACCAGCAGCCCGGTCTGTGCTAAACCCAACAACCCCTTCTCTGTGCCTGTGGACCCCACCGGGAACCCCAAGGGGGTGTCTGCAGAAGGAGCCGTGCTGGGAGGGGCAGGGGTACTGATGGGACAGAACAGGCACAACCAGGGCCCAGAGGAATCGGGGGAGAGGAAGGAAAGGGGGCACCCTGTCTCCAAGCCCTGGGACCACGTTCTGGGGAGAACAGCCCTTCACCCCGCCCTGCGGGCTGGGCCGGCCCTCCCGGTGCCAGATCAGCTGGAGGAGCCCTCGAGCCTCCCTCCCTCCCCTGGCAGGGGTGGGACCTGCCAGCACAAACACGCCCCAACCACTGCTCGAATTTTCTGTTTGACTTCCTCCAGCCCCGGCCGGCCGGCCGTGGGGCCAACTGGAGGCTGCCAAGTGGCCCAAAGAGCAGGCCTGTTGCCTCACGCCGGCTCTGGGCTCTCGAGAAGATATTTAAACCCCTGCAGGCCTGGCAGCTCCCACTTCTCAGAAACCAAAAAAACAGGCAGAGCCAGAGAGCAAGGGACCCCCGGCACCCCCAGACTGCAGAGCCTGGGGCTCTGCCTGCCCCACCCCTGAGGACGAGGCTCTCCTAGGCCTCCAAGCTAGCGTGGCCGGGAGGAGGACCCCAAGGCCTAGCCCACTGCTCCCGGGGCAGAGCACCAGCCGAGACCAGGGTGTCAGGCGAAAACTGGATTTCACGCAAACAGCAAGGAGGTTGTCAGGGCAGCAGGGCCGTCACCCACGGCCACACCCGCGCGAGCGGTGGTTCACTCTGCACAGACGCAGCGTCCCTGGTGTCCCTTCGCGGTTACTTTTCGGCGTTTTCTGTTTTTTCTCAACTGGCAGCCCCACCTCGGGCCCCGTCCAGAGAGACAGTGGGTGCTCAGGGCACCGCAACTCCCTTTTCTTGGTCCTTCATCCAGCGTGAGGCCAATGTTTCTCAAACGAGAGCCTCCCTCCACGTAGGAACGCACCCAGAGGCGCCCTAAAACACGGGGGGCCTGGGCCCCGCCCGCAATTCTCTCCCAGGAGGTCCACGTCGCCCAGGGGTCTGGCTTTCGGCACACTTCCCCGTGGGAGCCCCGGGCCCAACAGCCTGGCCCGGCCTTGCCGACACACCACCAGCCCGGGCGCCCTCTGCTTCCTCCCACGCCTGGGGCCTCTGACCTGCCCTGGCTTGGAACCAAGAGCCGTTTTCCCAAGAGCAAGATAAACAAATGCATCTTCTCAGTCCGTGGACACTGGAGAGAAGTTTAGGCTGAAGAAATGAGGCAGAACCAGAGCTCGGAGATGCCGACGGTCAGGAGGCTGGGGTGGGGGGGGCGGGGGGGGCGTTACCTGGTACCCACCTACAGTTTGGCTTCCTGCAGCACAGCGCCCCCGGGAGCTGGCGTCATCAGGGATTCAGAATAGGCCTGAATGGCCTCCTTATCCTTTGAGCCCTTTTTACTACTACTCCAAAATAAATAGCATTTCTCCTAAAAGATAACCAAGCTATTTTATAGTCGACATCGCAGCCAAAAACATAAGATTTTACATGGTTCTGTGATTTTCAAGGAGCAAAGAAGAGACGGGCGGGGAGCGGAATCTGGGGGCCTGGCCAGGGTGCCGGCCTCGAGGGGGGAGCCGGTCCCGTCACCAGAGAAACACCAGCCTTTCAGGAAAGACGCTGCTCTGGGTGGGGCGGGCTGGTGAGCCACCCCACCACGGGGGGAACGCGGGGGACCCGGCGGCCCAGAAGCAGTGGGTGAGCAGATCAGAAAGAGGTTCTTCTGTTCCAAGACTTTTGATTATCTTCTAAAGAAGGACTTGAGAAGAAAAATTCCTCTGAAGAGAAGTTTAAAATGCGTTGAGTTCACCAGCGTGGGGTTTGGTATTTTTTTCCTCCCAATCAGGACAAATAGATAAAAACATGGAAGGCCTGACCCCTGCTAAGCCCCAAAGTACATAACAGGGGGAACTTCAATTATTTGGCCTGCGATGAACTCAAGCTGCGGGAAGGGAGACTCCACCACAGGGGCCTGGAAACCCAGGCCATCTGCTGCCACCCTAGACTGGGGGCAAGACCGTGGAGGGGGGCTTCCTCACTGCACCCCCACCCACGGGAGATCTGGGGAGAGACAGGGGCGACAGAGTCCTCTCCTGGCCCAGCCCCTCAGCGCCCGGGCCCAAGCATGTGTTTTGCTGATGGAGCCTGAGTTGCTCTCGGCCCAGGAGCTCTGCCCTGCTCCCCCCTTCCCAGCACAACTAGCAAAGACTACAGCAAGTGGCCTCTGCTCGCCAGGTCCTCCCTGGGCCAGTGACAGAGGTTGGGCGCCCACCTGGGGGTTACACCCAACCCACATCGGGGCTCCAGGCCAGAGCCGGTGGGCCCCAGCTCACCTGGGCCCCCCCGGGATGGGCGCTGGGAAGGGCCGCCGAGTTAAAGGTCTGAAAGCCAGGCCAAGAGCCTGGAAAGGCCTGTGATCATCCAGCAAGCACGCAAGCAGCCCCGGAGGCAGGGCAAAGAGAAGGCTGAAGTGAGAAAGCTGGGCGGCAGAGGCCTGGGGGCAGGGAGCTGGGCAGACCCACCCAACCCACGGGCCTCGGCCGCCCTCCAGCTGGGGGCCACCAGGATGATTTCTGGCTCTGGGATTCACAATGGCCTCTGAGACACCCTGCCCCTCCGCTTCGTTGCTGCTCACCCTCCCACGGGCCCTGGAAGCCCTCACAGTGACCCCCAGTGAGTGCCGATGAATGTCCCGAAGAGGGAGGGCACCCGGCCCAGAAGGTGTGTCTGCCGTGGCCCCTCCCTAGGGGTCCCCAGCGCAGACCTCCAGGCTCTGCCCATTTAGGCTTCCTTCCTCAAACAGCCAGCTCCCACCTGCCCTGCCAGCAGCCTCACTCAGCCAAGGCCGCCCACCGGCCCCACAAGTCCCTGCTGCTATTTCTAAATGCCTGCAACAACTTCCTGCCGCCCCCTAGAACTGGTTCCACAGGCTAGAGTGACCTGCCCGGGGTCCCCCCAGCCATCACCTACTTCCTCAGGCCCCCACCCGCTCCTGCTCACTCCCTTTCAGCCCACGGCAGCCTCAGCGCAGGTCTGCCTATGGCAGCTGCAGGGCCTTTGCACGGCCATTCTCGTCCTCCTTGGATGGCCCCCGCCCCACGCCTCCTCAGCACTCACAGCTAAGCTGAAGCCCCACCTCTCCAGGGACGCCTTCCCATGCTTGTCCCCGCACCCTGCACACGAGCTGTCCAGTCTAGAGCCACATTTGCCTGCAGAGCCTTTGAAATGGGTGAGTCACTGCAGTAAGAGTAAAAACACACCACAATTCAAAGACTTGACATGAAGGCAAGAAGGCAAAAACTTCCCTTCAGTGGTCACGTGTTGAAATGGTCATATTTTGGATTTCTTTGGGTTAAATAAAACATATGATTAAATTTTATTTCTTTTTTTCTCAGTGGGGCTATTAGGAAATTTAAGTCTTGAACCCCACGTGGCTCCGCCTGGCTGGACAGCCCCATGCTAGCCTCTCCTGTGCCATCAGTGAGGCGGCCCTGCCTACTGACCTGGTGTCACTGTCTCCCCGGAGCAGGGGCCACGTCTGCCCCCTTCACGGCTCGCTGCCCCACACCCGGCACCCAGCAGGTGCTGGCTTAATGAGCAAGTGGCTCAGGGATGAGGTCTCCCACCCGAAACCCACCTCAGCTCCTCCACAGGAGTCCCCCAGGCCTTCCAGAATGGGCAAAGAAGGGGCAATGCAAAAGGCAAGAGAAGCCAGGGAGCAGGGTGGCCCCCACCCCTGCAGAGATGGGGGCCTCTGCCCAGGGTGGGCCAGGCCGAAGTGTCCGCAGGAACAGCGGGAAGGAGTAGCCGGGAGCTCTGACCCATGCCACCCCTTCCTCCAGCAGGCAAGCAGCGAGCCACCCGGCCCCAGACCCACGCCGGCCGCCACCTACCTGTTTCAGGATCATGCAGGCGCCGGGGACGAGCACCAGGATGCAGCCCAGAGCGACCAGCAGGTACTGGACGTAGTTCAGCACTTGGGGCATCAGCACCAGCTGGTTGTAGAAGGTCCGAAGGGTGCCGCCCTCCATGGCCCCGCTCTGTGGAGGCAGAGACAAGCAGTTGGGCTGGGGCCACCAGCTCTAGGCCCTGGGCCCAGATCCCAACCACCCTTGTCCCTCCGTTTCCCTCCTCACCCCTTTCCCATCAGAAGCCCATTGGCCAGAGCCTGTGATGGAGCCTCCACTTCCTGGGGGCCTCCAAGGAGACTACATTTCCCAGGCTCCCCTGCAACCGAGTCACGTGATCATATTCTGATCAATGGGATGCGGGCACAGTGACCCACAGCTCCGGGTAGGACCCTACACACCTGCCAGGTGATTTCCCCCCATCCCCATCCGCAGAACAGGTGCTGAGGGCCTCCAGGAGGTCAGGGCCCCCAGATAGAAGGAGGCTGGTCATCCCATGCGGGACAGCAGTGTGAACCAGAGGTGACGCTGGCATTCAGGGCAAACTTCACACTGATCTCAAAGAGCCAGGCCAGGCGGCGCCGGAAAGGCCAAAAGCAGAGACGGTGCTGCTGAAAGCGGCCACCCCGAAACCACTTCCCGTGGCCTCCAGGTGGTCAGGCACACAAGCTGATTGTTCCCGCTCTCGCTCTGGAGGTACTCTCAGCCTGTGGGGTCACTGACACAGGTGCTTGGAGGGGTGAAGGCTCCAGACTGTAGTCCAGCATCTCCCAGTCCGGTGACCCAGCCCTGCCTTACCCGCCACACACACGGCCCCCTACCCCAAAGGCCCACACTGGCTCCTCCTGGGGTGCCAGTGCACGGGGCAGGGCCGCCTCACCTCTCCAAACCACAGCAGCGGCAGGACCACTGGGGTGATCTTCCCCGTTTGTCTGGAAATAAGCGAGACAAAGCACATGAGAAGGTTTGTGCGGTGGTCCCTCCAGGCCGCACTGGACACGCGTGAGCAACCAGCCGAGAGTGATGTGACTTTGTAACAGCTGCACGGTTCAGGCTCAGGGAATGGGTATCTCCTGTCAGGGAGCACCCTGATCTTTTTAAATTAAAAACTCACTTCCATGTGGCAGGGGCTGCTAGTGACCTAGCCAATACCCATCCATTCCCTTTGGAAACAGAACCCCAATTTTATTCTGGATGGCAATGCACCCAGCTAAAAGACTATTCTCGATCTCCTTTTAGGTAATTCTATGCAGCCAGGTTCTGATGAATGAAATGTTAGGGCAAGTATTTTGTGGGACAACTAGGAAGGCTGCTTAAAAGGGAGCTGACACCACTGAGAGAAAGACTGTTTCCCTTCCCCCTTCCTTCCATCAGATGGCAGGAACGCAGGTGCAATGGCTGGAGCCACAGTAGTCATTTGGACCAGAGGTGGCCTTGAGGATGGACGTTCGAGAGGTGAGATGATTCACCAGAGACAGAGTGGGGAACAGAACAGGCAGATCTACTGAAATCCACTGCTGAGGGGAATAGCCGGGAGACAGGAGAGGTCTGCTGGGCTATGTTCAATCCCTGACCGGGGATTGACCTCAGGCCATAGCAGAGACAGCCCTGAGACTTAACCCCTAGGGTACCAGGGAGGCCCTAAAAATCAACTTTTATCCCCATTTGAATCACAATTGTTTTGTGTTTTCTGTTCTATACAATCAAATGTAATTCCATCAATAAACCTCAGGACCCAGCAATTACACTCTAAGTAACTGCGCGAGGTAAGCTCATAAGTGTACAAATCAGCCATTGCTCCGAAAAGCATTAAAAAAAAAAGATAACAAAACAGCTAAATGTGCATGGGGAGCGTTTAACCTGTGATGCATCCACACAAAGCAGCAATTACAAAGAGTAAGACAGAGCCACAAGCACCACCACTGTTGGGCACAGGGAGCAAAGCTGCAGAATTGGACCCAAGAAAGGACCCATGTGCCCTCACGGCTCTGGACCTGCTCAGCGCAGACACAGCTGGACAAGTGTCAGAGGGGACTCACTGCAGGGCAGGGGCCCCCAGCTCAGCCCCCGAGCAGTCACACATCCACACTTGGTCAAGGCACACAACGCCCAATGGCCATCGACCGATGAATTCGACTCAGCCGCTCCACACACTGGGGTATGTTCAGCCATAAAGAGGGGTGGAGCCCTGGAACCTGCCCTCCCAGAGAGGCGCCTCAAAAACATGACCCCAGGTGAGAGAAGCCAGACACACAGAGAGGGACCGGGCCAGGGGGAACTGCTGAGGGATGATGGAAATATTCCAAAATCTATTTTGGCGGTGGGTGCACTTTCCTGAGTATGTAGATCACTGAGCTGTAACTTTTAAAAGGATGGGTTTTACAAGAAAAGTCTCTTCAATAAATGGTGCTGGGAAAACAAGACCGCTACATGCCAAAGAATGAAGCTAGACCACGGCCTCACACCATGCACAAAAACCAACTCAAAATGGATGAGATGGGCCTCCCCGGTGGTGCAGCAGTTGAGCGCTGGGTTGCAAGGCTGCCCACAGCCTCTGCAGTGCCGGTTCGATCCCGGCCGCTCCCCGGCCACTGGAGGAGGGTCCCACATGGCGCGCAGACCTCTCCTGCCGCCCGCTGCTCCCCTCAGCAGTGTCCTTCGGTCCTTCTGCCTGCTCTGCTCCCCGCTCTGGCTCTGGTGAATTCTCTCACCCTCCCGCGCTTCTGACTGTACCCTGTGCTTGTATAAATAATAAATAAATAAATCTTTAAAAAAAAATGGATGAGAGACCTGAGTGTAAGACCTGAAACCATAAAACACATGGAAGAAAGCATCGGCAAGGCACTCCACGACTGACGCCTCGGAAACATCTTTGAAGACTCATCCCCCGAAGCAAAGAAAATGAAGGAAAAGATAAGCAGCTGGGATGACATGAAACTCAAAAGCTTCTGCTCAGCAGAAGAGACAGTCAACAAAACAAAGAGACACCCCACAGATTGGGAGAAAATATTTGCACATCACACAACTGATAAGGGACTGATATCAAAGATCTACAAAGAGCTTACACGACTCAACAAAAAGTAAACAACCCCGTCAGAAAACGGGCAGAAGAGCTAAAAACACACTTCTCCAAGGAGGACATGCGGCTGGCCCACGGGCACCTGAGAAAATGCTCGACATCACTTATCATCAGGGAAACGCACATCAAAACCACAGTGAGCTGCCAGCTGACTCCAGTGAGAACGGCCCGCAGGAAAGCACTGGCAACGGCAAATGCTGGCGAGGCTGTGGAGAAACAGGAGCCTCTTCCACCGCTGGTGGGAGTGCAGACAGGTCCAGCCACGCTGGAAAGCTGTGTAGGGGACCCTCAAATGACTAAAAATGGAGCTGCCTATGACCCAGTGAGTCCACTCCTAGGGATCTACCCAAAGGGCACAAAAACACTCATTTGAGAGGACACCTGCACCCCTCTGTTCACTGCAGCACTATTTACAACAGCCAAGATAAGGAAACAACCCAAATGCCCCAAAATAGATGAGCGGATCAGGAAGATGTGGTCGCTACACACAATGGAATACTACTCAGCCATCAAAAAGACAAACTCATGCCATTTGCAGCAGCATGGATGGAGCTGGAAGGGATTGTGCTCGGTGAAGTAAGTCACAAGGAAAAAGAAAAATATCGGATGGTCTCACTCATAGGAGGGATATAGGGAAACCGAACAAAGGATCAAAAAAAAGGACAGAGCTAGCAGGCAAATTATAGATCTGAGGCACACGGCGGGAAGGGGAGGGAGGGGGGTCAAAATAGGGGCGGGAAGAGCACAAGGGACTGTGGCGCCGGTTCACGGGTGATGAGGAGGTGGGAGATTTATGGGGATTTATTCAGTTTATTGGACAAAAACGAGCAATGGTGTAAGAAAAACTACATTAAAAAATAATCAAAAGATGGGTTTTCTAGCACATGAGCTAAATTCCAATAAAGTTATTATTAGAAAAATCAAAAGAAAAAAGTTTCAAAGATTCCTCCCGCAAAGTGGAGAGTCACAGAGGAGACTGTGGTCTGCAGCTGCCCTTTCCTGCCACAGTTTCACTTCTGCTGCTCTGAGCGTGGGCACGGTCTGGCTGACTTGGAGGACAACCGTTAGGAGAAAATAAGGGGATTCCGGAGCAGGGATTTCAGGGGGCCCATGGGGCAGAAAGCAGGCTCCCCCCCCCCGCCCCGCCGCGGCCGGCCCACTCACCCAATGCCCTTCACTGCCTTCATGTACAGGTTCAGCTGCAGCTTCACGGAGCAGTTCATGGGGATCCCTGTGACCTGCAGTGACACACACAGCGGGGGGCTGGCCTGGGGGCCCGAGCACACGTGCAACACCCCTCCCTGGCAGTGCACAGGAGGGCAGGGGCCCAGGTCGCTGCCTAGGCCCGGGGGCTCCCCGATGGGTCTGAACACAGACGCCCGAAGAGCTGGTGCCAGGCGTCTGGGGCCCCAGAGATGGAGAGAGGGGACCATCCCCTCCATCCCTTCATAAGGGGCCCCCAAAGTGCCAACTAACATTTTCAGCCCTCGTCCCATCCCCCACCCTCCAGCCCACACCAAGGAGGTGCAGAAAGCCTTGTGCCCTGACTTCCTTCTTGACAAAGGCCGGGGCTGGGGCCTGCACAGTCTTCAGGCCTCAGGCGCCTGGCGCCTGCACACCTCACTGGCCGGCAGAGTCTGACAGACCCCACTGGCGTTTGTTTCCTTGTGTTTATTTTTCGGCCCAGCCTGCTTCTCTGGAGAAAGTTCGGGTAGAGATGGGAAGCTTGCCTTGTACAGAAACAGAGGTGGTTTTTTAACAAGACCGTTTTTTAAAATCCTAAGCAGAAGACAGAAGTGACACCTTGGGACCAAAGTCGGGGGACTGGTCCTGGCCCATGCGACCAGCCCCAGGAGACACCCCAGTAAAGGAAAGTGCTGTCACAGCTCGCTGCGGGGGACCCTGGGGCAGGCCTGAGCTCACTCCAGCTTCCCCCAGATGTCGCCTCAGCCTTTCCCTTTGCCACTATGCGCCGTGTCCTTCCGCTGTGATAAAGCTCGGCCATGAGTCTGATTCTGCCAGGTCAAAGCATCAGACTTGGGGGTATTCTTGGGGGCCCAGCAGCACCTGCCACCCTCTTCCATGTTCTGGAACAGACTCTACATTCTGGGGTCTCCACTCAGGGCCACTTCCTTCCCCAAGAGATTCATCCCCTCCAGCCACCCCGCCGCACAGGCTGCTACAAACAGCTGGCAGCACCGTCTGCGCCCCCACACCAGTCCCACGCACCTGCATCTCGCCATGGCAGAGGAAACCACCACCCCCCGCCCCACCGCATGGAAGAGTTGCGTAAGAACACCTCCCATTCATGGAACGCTCTAGAAACCAGCAGAGAAAGGCAATGAGATAAATGAGAGAGAGAAGGCGGGAGGCTGGACCAGAGGGCAGAACCGGGGCCGAGGCTGTCCAGGAGGACAGAGGGAGTGGGTGTGGACAAGCGCCAGCAGACGGGCTTCAAGAAAGCCCTGGGGAAACACGTCACAGAGCTTCTGGGCCAGTGGCAGCGGGCGGCCACCTCCACAGGGCCCGTGCAGCAGTGGACGGAGAGGCCGAGCAGCAGGAACGCCCCAGCCCCTGCCATGGGGACCTCTATCAGGACAAATTCCCCAGAACCCAGCTTATCGACAAGATGTTCCAGGCGCAGACTGACCTATCTCGGCAGTCAGAGGGCAGCCCCTGGCTAATTTGCAAGCTGATAATTCCTAATTAATTTACTGTCTTATGAGCCTTTTATGGAGATAATTCCCTTATGAAGAGATAATAAGGTCCCTGAACTATGGAGTCGGGGTAAAGAAGAGGCCTCCGTGACTCAGGTTCAAGAAGCCATCAGGCATCTCATGACCCCGCACCCTGAACAGCTTGGAGGTGCCGGTGAGCCAGCAGCCAAGGCCCGGCCAGAGCCCACCACCCCTCAGGCCGCGGAGGCTCACCGGGTGGATGTCCAGGAACAGGGAGTGCTCCTCCTCGTCGGGGTGCAGGCCCTTCACCGCCTCGACCAGCTCGGGGTCAGCGTTGTAGAAATGAGGTTGGGAGAGGAACAAGGGCGCATCTGGAAGGCAGGGCAGAGGGGGCGTCAGGCCTTGAGCCTGGGGCTCAGACGGGCCAAGCAGCGCCCAAGCAGCGCCACCAGGACAGCGGCAAGACGCAGACAGCAGCGCTGACAGCAAGAGCCCTGCACTCGTCCGCAGTGGACACCGGGCGCCCGGGGGCACCAGGCCCTGCACACGGCAAGGGGCAAGCTCGGTGCCCCAGGAGCAGCGACAGGAGCTGCCGGGTCTGGGGGCGAAGATGGCAGGAAGGGAGGGCGGAGGGTTAGAAGACGCCAGGCAGGGGGCAGGGCACTCAGGCAGAGGGGCTGGCAGGAGCCAAGGTGGGGGGCGGGAGGGGACGCGCAGTGATGAGGGACAGACAGAGCATGGAGGGGCCTGTGGGGCTTGAGGACAGAATGGGAAGTTGAGGCCAGGCTGGAGCTCGGGTCGGGGAGGACCATCTTGCTCGCCAAGCCAAGCAGTCCCGGCTGTCCTCTGCAGGCGACGCGGCAGCTGCCAGGCGCCCAGCTCTGTCCCCGAGCCAGCCCCAGGCCCCGGGAGGAGGACACACCTGCTTCGCTCCTTCGCTCTCAGCAGCGGCCTGCGGGACGGACGCCGGCGGGCGTGAACGGGGACCAACCCGGGCCCCTCTGAGCGACCAAATTCCGCCCCAGAAACCTGAGGCCGAGCCTCTCCACCAAGCGGCTGGCCAAGGCCAGTGCCAGCGCGTCCTGCGCTCAGGGCCAGGTCCGGGCCTGAGGGGCAACGAGGCAAGGCTGAGCTCTCAGGACCGCGGGGAGAGTCAGGACAGGCCACACCACGGAGGGAAAGCGGATGGGCAGTGACCGTTCTCGGGGCCAGGGCCTGGGGGCCAGGGCGAGCCTGTTCCGGAACTAGAGACTGTACTAAGGACCAGAGCACGCAAACTTCGAGAGGCTTCATTTCACGTCAGCCAGACCCCAGGTGTCTGGCTTTGCTCTGCTCTGCGCGGCCCAGCCCCCCTCTGTCTGCAATAAAACCTGGGGCTCTGGCCGCGTCTCCACTTCACTTCTCCCCGAGTCCTCTCACGCACGGCCCCGTCTCCTCACACTTCTCACCGCGCCTCTCGTTCTCCCTTCCTGCCACCCGCTCACCCTCTTGCCTCCCCGGTCCCGCCACGTCCAGGCAGCCCCACGGCCAGCGCCCCGCACAGCTGAAGCGCCTCAGCTCTAACAGGCTCGGGCCGGGCACACCCGGCAGGTGAGAAAGTAAACACCAGAATCCCCACAGCGGGAACCAGGAGGGTCCGGCGTCCGACCGACACTGCACACGCTCGAGGTTTTGGCCTGAGAACTGCCCTTTCTGCTAGAGAGCGGCTGGTGCGGGTTACCAGGGCACGTGCGCCCTCTTGGCACGAACAGAGACGTCCTCCCGCGGCCAGGACTCGCCAATGGCGACAAGGAGCCTTGGACCGGGGAGGCCAGCTTCAGCCCCGGGACCAATCTGGTCCCCGCCCTCCCCTCTCAACCGTAGGTCAGCAAGCAAACACAGCGCCCCCTGTTTTGTGGGTGGTGGAACTTTAGGGTGCTGGGTGGGGGAGGTGGTCACCAAGCCAGACCCTGGAAGATGGTGAACCCTGAACAAGCCCAGTCCTGCCTCCAAGGCCAGAGGACGGTGAAGGGCAGGGTCCATTTGTCCACACCTGCCTCTGATGCAGAAGTGAAGCCACGCGGTTATTTAAGTGTTTGCTTGAGTTTCTCTTTTTTTTTCCCCCAGAGTGAGAGAGAACTGCCTAGGTAATAAGTGATAATTAATTTATAGCCTTATGGCACATCAAGCCTAATCTAATTGCCCAGGATCACCAGGAATTATGATTACAGGGCTCTTGGGCATGTCTGAGGCTCCTAGAGGAGCCTCCTTAGAGGAGAGTCCAAGAGAGTTTCAAGGCAGGATGGGGGAATACAAGGGTATTTTCTTATCTTCAGATAAAATGCCACAAAAATGCAGACACCAGCGCATCAAAAGACACGTAAGCACATTGCTAGCAGCACACGGGCACTGGTCAGAAAACAAAAACTTAGATAATGGCGAGGGAGCCAGGAAGGGGAAGTGTGCAGGCCTGCAATGAAATACTATACAGCAACGAAGAAGCCTACAACAGGAGAGTGGAAGGAAGAGATCAGAAAAACAGGGGGCATCGAGTACACACTTTATGACCCTGTTCATGTAAAGACCAGCCTGCTATGTTGCTGGAAGCCAGGCTGGTGACTGGGCCAGGCCTCTCCTGTTCTGTTTCTTGATCAGGGTGCTGGGGACATGGGTATGTTTGCTTTGTGGTATTTCAAACTGCACACATCACATGGGCACTTCTCTCTACAGCTGACCCTTGAAGGACAACAGGTCTGAGGTGGACCGGACCCAGGTGGACCCACATAGACCCAAAGGCGACTCACTCTCGCACTCAAACAGGCCCGACTACAGCCTGAGGCGCCGGGGGCCCTGTGAGTTATACCAGGACCTCCAGCCCCTGCGTTGTTCAAGGGTCAAGAGTCTGTGTGTTTGTCTTAACACAGAAGAAAAGGCTTTATGTAAATATTTTAAAATTTCCTTTCATGCCTGAAGTCCTCGGGGCAGGCTGCTCTGTGAGACAGGCAGTGCCAGCCTCGCCCCAGCCCTGTGTGATGGACGACACGTTTCTGCCTGCAGTCACCCTCTCTTCCTTCTGCAACCGACACCCCCACTAACCCCGCTCTCCTCGTGGCCTCCCGCTGGAGCCACAGCTGGACTAGCCAGTCAGAGTGAATCCTGGGGCTTCTGCGGGAGGGACTCTGACTACCTGGCCCCTTTCTGGCCCTCCCCATCGCAGGGAGGAGGTGAGCCTGGAGCCAGAAGCGGGGAGCCTGCAGCAGTAATGCCAGCCTGGAGGAAAACCGAGCCCGCTTCCGCAGGCCAGCACCCTGATGCTAGGATCTGCTCTGGAATTTGTGTAGCACCTACCACTGGCTACTGCAGGTCGAGGCACACAGCCTGCAGGCCACCACTGCAGGAAGAGCCAGCCTCCATCCCACAAGCAGAAATGCCCACGGACACCAGCAAAGAACGACCTATCCAGAGGTGAAGGCCAAGACAGAGAGGCCAGTCCACACCTTCCCCAGTGGGACGCCCCTGCCCGTGCTGCCTGAACCTGTGGAGACTGTCCACCCTGCTGGCCGCAGCCCCCACTAGCCCCACCATAAACGACCCTCCCAGGTCCCCAACTCCTGCTGGAAGTGGGGCTTGAAGAGGCCCCCAGACACAACGCCCTTCAGATCCGGGGGGCTTCTTGACCCCAACTCTGTGACCTGTGCCCCCAGGCCCGGCCTTGTGCCTCAGTCTCCCACACGCAGGACACACCCACCTGTGCATACAGGTGGATACTGCGTGTGCGCCCACCACCTAATGGGCACGGTGCCCACTCGGGAGTGGCCGTGGTACAGGAGACAGACCATCAAGCACAGCTGGTGATTTCAGGGCAACGAACACCAAGAAGACAAGGAGGCGAGAGGGGGTGGCTATGGTAGGGGAATCAGAACAGGCCTGCAGGAGGAGGTGGCATTCGAATAAACCAAAAGGAGGTGAGTGAATGCACCATGTGGGTGTCTGGAGAGAGAGCTCTGTTCCCCCGAGCAGGGGGAACAGCCAATGCAAAGGCCCTGAGGTAAGACCAAACTGGACACATTCTAGAAACGGAGAACGCAGTGGGCTGGAGAATAGTTGGCCGAGGGATGGGGGGATTATGGAAAGAAAGGACAAGAGGGAAGCCCAGAGGCCACCGGGAGAGTCTGCCCACTCTCAGGGTGGGGCGAGCCACTGGGCACTCTGAGCAAAGGGCGGGTAGCAATCCATGGTCCCAAAAAGCCACCTCAGCTGCTGGCTGGCACATCATGCCCACAAGACTGTGGCCACAGTGTCCCACACGATAGCCATGAAACGTGTGGCCGCTGACCGTGTGGAACCTGGCCTGCTCCACCAGGGAAGTGCCATTTTAATTTGGTCTCATTCAAGCCAATTTCCATTCAAATAGCCACCCGAGGCCAGGTGACCACACTAGACAGTCTGGGGGACAGAGGGCAGGTGGTCGCACAAGGGCCAACTATAGGGGCCATACCAGAACCAGGTAACAGTGGCCTGGACACGAAGGGGCGGGCATGTGAGGGACTTGGGGCTTGATGTGGAGGCAGAGCTGATCCGGCTGGCAAGGAGGGGTTCAGCCAACATCCCCTCACCCACATGGAGCAGCCAAGGCAGGGCAGTCCCAGGGGCTGGCGCACAGGAGCACGGACGGTCAGAGGACACCGTGAGCCCCGCATTCACGCCCAGCCCCGTCACCGCACCCCAGCACAAGCAGGGGCTGCCAGCCCCCCTAACCCCGACTGGGGCGAGGGCCCTTCCCACAGGCCTGGGCCTCACACAGCGTGGGGGGCAGAACAGCGGCCCCAAAGAAGTGCGAAGCCCCAGGACCTGGGCTGTTAAGTCACGCGCTAAGGGGCGCTGAGGTTGCAGGTGGGGTTTAGGCTGCTCAAGAGCTGCCTTAAGCGGGAAGAGCGCCCAAGGTCCCCAAGCTGGGCCCAAAGAGCCTCGGGGGGGTTGGAGGAGACTCAGAGACCAAGGGGGCTGGGACAGAGGCGGCGAGGCTGCCGCGGAGAGGACGGTCGGAGCAAGGCACTGTGAACCCAGAAGCGCCAGATACTTCCAGATGCCAGCAAAGGCAAAGGCTCGACCTCCCCTGGCGCCCCCTGAGGAACCAGTCTGCCGCCACCTGGATCTTGGCCCGGGCGGACTTCTGACCGCAGAACCGCCTGGTAACCTGGGGTTGTTCCAAGTGGCTAAGACGGTGGGAATTTATTGCGACAGCGAGAGATACACACCGCACGTTGTTTTGCAAATTATCTTTCTGCCGCCCTCATTATCTCGGGGTTAATGGGATTATCAAGAGTACAGAGGCCAGAGATTAAGCAGATAAGCCCTTTGAGGATACTCACGCCCCCACCCAGCACTCGGGGCGACACGTACTGAACCTGCAGGTGCTGACGTTCTGGACCCCAGATTGCAAGCAGGGGCAGAAGCCCTCGTTGGGCGGGTACACCGACCCATTGGCGAATAAGGTGTTGGGGGCCACGAAGCGGTAGGTGGGGATGCCCTCGAAGGTCCCCGACTCCTTGTAGATGAGCTTCAGGGACCTGCAGGGCACAGATGGGGTGGGGTGATGCCCGGCGGCTGCAGCAGGTCCCACTGAAGGCACCCACCGTGGGCCGCCCCTGGCCCCAGGCACCCTGGCCCCCCTCCGGGGCCTGCCGCAGCCTCCCCAGCCACGCCCATCCACTCTCCACCCCCAGGAGCTGGAAAATTGGAGTGGGGTGCACCACGCCCCCCGCTGAAATCCTGGCGTCATTCGCCTCCGGCTGGTCTGCAGCACCCAGCGTGCTCAGGCCCATCTCGTCCCGGCTGCGACCCCAGAGCTGCAGCCCCAGGGCCTCCCCCGGAACGGGGCCTGGCAAAGGCCTGCCAGGAAGGCAGCTGAGTCAGGGAGCACAGCGTCAGATTCCCAAGGAAAGGGTCTTCCCAGCGCGGCCTGAGTGGAATGGAGAAGGCTCTAGAACCCCTCGGTCCTCTCTGCACCGTTCAGCCCCCAGCAGGCTCCAAGGCTGGGAGATGGAGGGCCGAGGAGGGGCCTCTGGAAGTGCCAGCATCCAGATGGAGCAGGGGGCCGGGGGCCACCTCTGGGGCCCGCCACGTGCCTCATTCCCAGCCCCCCGAAACCTAGACCGCTTCCTGCCCCTCCTCCGCCCCCCACGACCAGCAGTGTCTGCAGCCCTGCATGGGGTCAGCGTGGGGTTTGCTCTCTGCCACATGACCAAAGAGAAGTCAAGGCAGGCCAAAGGTAGAGCCAAAGTGCACCCACAGGGCACCCCAAAAGCCGTGAAATCCAAACCCCTGGGCCCAGGAGGCCCCTGAGCCCCACGTCAGAGCCGTTACCGGCAGGCCTCAGGGCTGTAGAATTCCAGCGAGGACTCGGGGGTCATGAACGGCGCCCATAGCTGCCCTGCCGTTCCGTTGATCATGTTGCACTGGTCAGAGCGCCAGTAGTTGACCTGTGGGGCGCACGACACTGCACTTAACCATACGGCCTGGGACCTCACGGGCGGGCCAGGCCCAGGAGCCCCAGGGAGCCTGGTTGGGGCAGCACCCTCCCCCCGAGCGAGCCGGGAGCCAGCACAGGAAGGAAAGCACGTAACAGCACCACGGAGGCCACCAGGAGGTGTCACAACAGTGGTCGCCCTGGAGGGGCCAGCCCCAGACAGAGAGTAACAGGCCGTCCCCCACCCCTGCTGCTGGCTCAGGCTGCCCCTTCAGACTCCTGCACCCCTGCTGCTGACTCAGACTGCCCCCTGCACCCCTGCTGCTGACTCAGGCTGCTCCCCCCCAGCCCCTGCACCCCTGCTGCTGGCTCAGGCTGCCCCCCCCCCCCCCCCGCTCCCTGCTGCTGGCTTGGGCAGACCCTCCCCCCGCCCCCTGGATCCCTGCCTGTGGCTGGGGCAGGCATGTGCTTTCACGCCCCACGCAGCCACAGAGAATCTAGTGGTGTCCATCCAGGACGGCTGGGACCAGTCGCTAACAGTGAGGTGGCCACTCCAGGCAGGAATCAGGGTGCCATTCACCCCTGCCCCTGGTCTCTGCAGCCACCCCCAGGGGGAGCCTGTGGGAGGGGCCAGCCAGCCGAGGCACCCCCAGTTTCATGCTGGTTGAAGAAAGGCCACTTAGAGGGCAGAAGCACACAGGATGACTTCAGGGTGTTCAAAGGAGGAAACAACCCGCGTCCTGAGCAGGCGCAGCTGGACGGACAGTGGACCGGGCCGGCGCCGGCCCAGAACCCCGCCGCTCTCTGTGGCTTCGCTGTTGCCGTCATGTCTCCTGCGCTCAGTGTCGCTCCTGCTTCACCCCCACGACTCCTCCGAGCGCAGCGAACGGTCTGTCCTTGGCGTGTCTTGAAACGTATTTGTAAACCAAGCAGCCAAGGAGGAGCGCGCAGCCCCTGGTGTGTGCTAGAGGCCTGGGAAGCGGGATCTGCTCCCCTCCCCTCCCCGCAAGTCCCCGCCCGGCTGTGTCCTCCCCCAGCACACCTTGCTGAGCCCGTTCCACTTGTCCACCTGGTGGATCCTGCTGAAGTCTTTGACCCCCGTGAACACGGTGAAGAGCCCGGAATCGGAGTTGTTGAGCTGTAGCCAGAGCAGACGGCACCGTGAGCATCGGGGCAGCCGGGCCCAGCGCCCTCCAGTCCGCCCATCGGCCCCTGCTCCCCGGAAGCACAGAGGACCATGGGGCCCAACGCCTGGGGACCGTGAGCAGGGTGTCCCCCCATGACAGCGTCCCTCCTAGAGAAAGTCCTGCCTGCCCCTGCCCAGTCAGGAGTCAGCCCTCCCCAGGAATGGTGGGGTCACGCCCACCCTGCCGCCCCCTGAAGGCGAGGGGCCCCTCCCATACATGGAGGAAGCAGAAGGGGCAGGTCACTTTGGGCAGAAGCTACAAAGGGCGTGCGTCCAGCACATGCCCCCGAGTGCCCACGAGATCAGCAGGTCACCCCGTCACCCACACGGACCAGGCACACCAGCGCGGAGGCCAGCCCTGTTGCTGCCGGGCCGCGCCTGGCGCGGGTCCTCACCGGAGCCAGGCTTCGGACCCCGAGGGCTTTCCCGAAGCAGGTTTCTGATTTTGAGCAAAGCCCTGCAAGGTGTGGGGAGGAAGGAGTGGCTCTGGGTAAGATCTAGGGGTGCTGCTGTGCCCCAGGAGGCCGGATGATGCAAGGCGGGCCCGCCTGGTGGCCAAGCTCAAGGCGATGGCAGAGGCAGGCAGCTGGGGCGCAGGACCCGTGTGGGGGCGGCACGCGTGTGCCCACTGCCTGCAGGGCTCACACCCGCACGCGAGCCCCTGCAGGCAGAGGACCAGAAAGAGGCCTAGGGAGCACCCAGGAGCTGGGGTGGGGCCCCAGCACCCTGCCTGGGGCAGCAAGAGTGCGCACGCCCATCTTTGCGTTGTTCTTGTCGCTGGATTTATCAACAAGGGATGCTTAGGGAGCCATGGTAACAGGCCCAGGGTACGGAGGCTGCTGGTTCCCACAAAGCCCCTTCCCCCCTTCTCCACACACACGCACACAATCCCCAGGCACACCAGCGGAAAGGCTGCGTTTCCCGGCTCCCCTGGCCGTCCGCAGGGCCACATGACTAAGTTCTGGCCAACGGGAAGTGGAAATGGGTTTTCTCCCTCCCAAAGAGGAGGGAGAAACAGCTAGAACAAGCTGTCTGAACCTCAAGCCCCTGCCTGCCCGCCATCTCCCACCGCCCCTTCCTTCCTGCTGTGGCGAGAACGTGGACGTGATAGCTGGCGCTCCAGCAGTCAGCTTGGCCCATGTGGTAATCTGGAGTCAGGAAACCACATCCTAAGGATAGCAGGGCACACGGCAGGGAGCATGACGCCACCGCAGTCTCTGATGGCCCGTTCGTGTGGGATTTCCGCCACACAAGATTAAACTCACTTTACAGATAGGCTGGAGACGCTAATAACTTTGACATGCTTACAAAGTTAACAAAATGCTTCTACCTGCCCCAAACTTGCCAGTCAACCCACACACCCAGAACTGCTACCCTGGTCAAGGTGTATCAGGTACCAGGTACAGAACCATGACCCTTGTCCTCTCCCCTCCCCTCACCAGGTCAGCAGAGCCCAAGAGGCCATCGGGCTACACTGACCCAGAGGGCTCCCTAAAACCTGTGGTTGAGAGGGCCAAGGTCAGGGATCAGAAGTCAGGGATCGGACTCTATACCAGATGGTGGCTCAATCACTGATCCTGCTGATTATTAGGCATCGAGACTAATAAAACGTTGGTAGCTCAGAGCAGTGCTGTAGTTGCCCTCGGTGAGCCGCCTCCGCGGCAACCACTCCCTCTTCTCCCAGGAACAACCTTCAATTATCTAAGGTCAGTCCCATTCGAATCCGGATCAAGCTTTAGCTGAATCCACCCCTAGAGTTTTCAGTTAAGCGATGCAATAAATCCTCTGTTCCGCAGCCAGTTTGAGGGAGGTTTTCTGCCACTTACAACCATTCTGCTGGGCCCACACCAACTCCAAAAGCAAGCTGGTAACTGGTTTCCAGCTGTGCCAGTGGAGAAGGTACAGGTCCTGAATGACTCCCGGGGCCACACTTACCTCTGCAAATAACCCGAACTTGCCCTTGAAGGGGAGAGCATTTGGGAAGTACTGATTCAAGAAGGTCAAGAGTTTGCTGTCATAGCCCCACATGATCTCGCCGACAGTGCGGTTCATGAACGCGTGCTCCCCAAAGGAGGTCAACATGAGGGTCATCATCACCTTCAGGGTCATGGGCTTATTCTCCATCATTGCCGCTGCGCCCTGCAGAATAAGGGGGCACCGTGGGTTCAAGCCTGGCCTCCAGCCCAAAGCCCAGCCAGAGAAATATCCGGGCGTGGGAGGGATCCCTGCAGTGGGGATGTGGGGCATCTTCGGTAACAAGACCGCGTGTGCCCACGAGGAGCCCCTCTTTCAGCTCCCCCGGCACACTCAGGCTATTAACTCCAACCCCAGTCACTGACATGGGCAATGGCTCAGGCCTAGCTAATCAGAAGCCTTCTCTCTCTAGCTGCAGTGATTGGCTTGGGAGCGTGCACATGGCGCAATCAGGATCCGCTAGCCATAGGAGACATTCCCCTGGGACTGCGGGGTAGAAAGGGGAGCTCCTCACTGCTGGCCCTGGACCTGGGAGTGTGCAAGGCTGAAGCCACCCTTTTGGCAGGTCTGCCAAAGCAGGGACCCATCCCAGATCCAGGAAAACCTGTATGCGCTCTGGATCAAGCCACACCTGTAGCCAGCCCAACTGCTACCCTCCCAGTAACGTGAGCCCACAAATTTAATTTTTGCTTATGCCAATTTGGGGCACTTTTTGTTGTCACATTGTAACCAAAAGAACCTTAATGAAGACTCTACTCCACTGCCTTATCATCTCCTTCCCAAACACCAAGAACCCCCAACAGCCGGTCTACCCAATATCTGAATATTTAGAATATAAGTAAATTTATTTTCTAACTTTTGCTTTTCTCTCAGGATACTGTCTTGGCACTTGGTTTGGTTTTTTAAAGGCACCTCATCCAATCGCCAGTCTCCTGCACAAGAGTGGACACAACCAGCAATTCCTAAATCATGAGCTACACGGTCTAGTCCCATGGGAACACACCTGGGTCTCCTCAACATAATAATTTGTTAAAGGTAATAAAAACATGGTTTGAAAAGAATCACAGAGGATATAAAATAAAAGTCCCTCTCCAACCCTGACTCTCCTTTTCCCATTTTCCTCCCCCAAGGCAACCCACTACGTTGGGTTCTTGAGGCTCCCTCTGGAGATAATCCACACCAGAGCTCAGCCACCATGGCCCAGGAGCCCACGCCAGCCCACCACCTGTTTTTGGACAGCCATGAAAATTCTATGAAACTCACACTTCAGTGTCCATGAAATAAAGTTTTATTGGCACACAGCCATGCCCACTTATATATGTTACTCTCTGTGGCTGATTTTGTGCTACAGCAGCTGCAACAAAAATCAATCTTCCCCTCAAAGGCTAAAATATTTATAACTGGCCCCTTACAGAAAGAGGTTGCCTGTTTGGGTCTAGACATGTAAATGTACATGTGTGTACATGGGTGTGTGCAAGCAAGTCTTTCTCTTATAGAAAGAGATGTGTGTTCTGCCCCTGGATTTTCTCCTACTTAACTATTCTTTAGGAACTGCTCTCCCCCAGTCCCCGCTGTCCCACCTCCTTTTGCTGGCTGTATACTATTCCAATGAGTGGCCATGCTCTGTTATCACACTGTAACTGCACGTGATGCACATATAGGTTCTGGCTGTTTGCTCTGATACCATGGCTAAAATGAACATCCTTGGGTGCAAACATCTTAGACCACGTGACCTTTTTTGGTCAATGACAGATTCTACAGACAACAGTGGTCCAACAGGCTCTACCATCTAGCCCAGGTGTGTGGTAGGCTAGACTATGCAGGTCTGTGTAATTACATCCCGTGACATTTGCCCGTGATGAAATTGCCAACCAATGCATTTCTCGAACTGTATCCCTGTCGCTAAATGAGGCCTGACCTCGTTTCATGCCGCTGAGCATCATTCTCCTGAGGGTCAGTTCCTACAAGCGCAATTTCTAAGGTCAAAGCCATATGCTTTTCCTATTGAAAAACACTGCCTTCCATCAGGATATGAGAATATCTGTTTCCTCAAATGTGCCCACTGGGCCCCGGGCATTACCGCAGGGTCGGCCAACATGACGGGGGCACGTGGGGTCACACTGACCGAGTGTCTGACTCTGAGTGAGGCAGCTGCAAGGTCCTGGGCTACATTTATTTCCACATCTTCTCTCCTGTCCACCCAATGGATTTGTCAGGGGGTATTCTTGGGGACCCCAGATGTTCTTAGGGACCCTGATACAGGCAGTAAGTGGTCCGCAAATGCAGGGGTCTCTGTCTCTCACCCACACAGAAGCAGAGAACAGCATGGCCTGGGGGTGGTCCCCGTCAGCGCCCCAGCAAGTACCCACTCTCGGAGATTTCCAATTTGTCAACTATAAAGGGCAAGACAGTGACTTTGTCCAGCACCCCCAAACCCCAGAGGTGGACACCTGGGGACCTGGGGGGGCCTCACCATGACCAGGATGTTGGGCATGACGATGTAGTCACTCTCGGAGCCGCAGGACTTGTCCCGCTGGAACTGGAAGCGGCGGTACTCGCGGTAGGACACCGTGTCGTTGTTGTTGAAGGTGATGTTGATTTTGTGCCGGAACTCCCTGTGGGCGTGGTCAGCGGGGTGTGGTCAGCAAGGACATGGTCAGCGGGGAGGGTCAGTGGGGACGTGGTCAGCGGGGACGTGGTCAGTGGAGCATGGTCAGCGGGGTGGGGGAGGGAGGCAGTGGGTCAGAGGCAGGGGCAGCAGGGATGGTGGGTGGCATGTGGCAGTGGGGAGGCGTGGGGGGCACGGGTCAGGGGGGACAGGGAAGGGGGCAGCGGAACAGGGGGCAGTGGGGTAGCAGGGGTCCCTGAAAGCCCACAGGGGCTTCTCTGGCAGGGCTGGGATGTCCTTGTGCCCCGGGCAGCACTCCAGCCAGGTTGGGCGGCCCCAGGTCTGTCCTCCCACTGCGGGCCAAGGTGCCCACGCCTCTGTGGGCCTCATCAGTCACCACAGTCTCCCAAATCACAACGTGCCCCACCTGGCCAAGCCACGTCTTAGCGAAGCCCACCACTCACCTCTAGACCTAGAGTATGCACCCCTCGGCTCCTCCTGGGCACTGCTTCACGCTAACATACGATTTTATTAATTCAGCTCCATCAGCCTCCCCAGTTTGACTACAAGCACCACGGGGATTCTTTTGCCCATTTTGCTCACTTCTAGGTCTCCTGTGCCTAGAGCAAGGACCCTCACCGAGCCCTGACTGCCTCTCCCGCCCGCTCCCAGCTCATTCTACCCGCCGCGCAGCCGCCCTGCCCTCCTCAGGCAGCACACCAGGCCAGCCTCAGGGCCTTTGCACTGGCGACCCCTCTGCCAGGAACACCTTTCTGGGGGCTCACTCCCTTATATAAGTGGCCGGAGGGCAGTTGTAACCACCTACCAGGGACACGCAAATGCACATACACCCCCCTTTCCCTGCAACTTTCTCTCTGTAGCACTTAACACCCACGGTCAGAAGACACCTGCATTTCCTCATTGATTTTCTACATCCCAGACACGTAGGATGTCAGTTCTGTGAGGCTGGGATCATTGTCTCGCTCGCAGCTGTCTCCCTAGCACCTCGACAATGGCTGGTACATAGTAGGCGCTCAATAAACACACTGATAAATGAATGACTAGGGCAGAGCTCTTCGACCCTGCAACAGCTCCGACCCTGTGTGCAAGTGCATGCAGCCCCCTCTCTTCTTCACACACATCCCCCACCCGTCCCTCCGCTGCCTTGGCACCCCATAAAGAACCTCTCCAGCACCATCATGTTCCCCTTCTGTACCTGGCCCGCTGCTGGAACAGCCGCTGGGGCTCAGCACAGTGGCTCCAGCCCAGCCCACTGAGCCCCGACCCTGGCAGGGCTGCCACCCCCTCCAGCCTCACCTGTACACGTAGGGCCCACGCTCCTGCACCCACGGCTTCTCGCCCTGGAGGACGTCCTTGGGGTTGAGGATGCTGAAGAAGTAGACGGACAGGTAGAAGGGCACCGGGATCTCCTTCCACATGCTGAAGGACAGGCTGTTGGGGTCGATGCGCACGTTCTGTAGGGATGAGACCAGTGGTGAGGAGGGTGTCCGCACCCCACACACAAGCCCCCCACACAGCCCCAGGACGGCTGCCTGAGCCGGCAGCCCCCACGGCACTTCAAGAAAGAGGCTCCAGGGGCAGGAGGGGTGAGAGCACACTCCCCACACGCCACTCCAGAGTTCACATAAACAAAGTTAATAAGTAATAGAATGTGTTTCCATGACAACAGCCTGATGGGGAGTCCCAGCAAAAGAGGGGTCCACACCCCATCTGGAAGAGGCGGCTGCCTCTTGTGCCATACAGTGCTGTGTGGGTGCATGGTATTCACTTATTCACTCACTCAACACTTATTGAGTGCCTACTGCATGCCGAGCACATGGCTTGCCCCCGCACCCCCCCCCCCAGTTCAATGGACACCCGCCCACAGAACTCTTGGGCAACCGGCTCTGTGTTTGGGCTGGTGATGATGGATGCATCATGGATTCTCTCTGGGCCTCGGTTTCCTCACCCACAAAGTAGGTGTAAGGACAGATCCTCCTCTTAGGGCTGATGTGAGGGTTAAATGAGCTCTCAGAGGGCAAGTGCTTAGGGCAGGGTCTGGCAGGGCAAGCGCCAAAGGCCAGCCACACAGCTGCCTGGCAAAGAGTGACCCCCGTGCCGTTGGCAGGCACAGACTTTGCCCTGCTTTTGATCGGAGAGATTTCTGGCGGTCAGACCAGATCAGAGACAGCTGATAGATAACAGCTTGCTCTGGCCAAGCTCTGGGCCTAAGGAAATTGATTCTACCCCCACCCTCCCCTGGGGTCAACGATCATGCCCAGGAAGAAAAGACAGAGAAAAGGCCAAGCAAGGCAATCTCCTGTGGGACGACACTCCCTCGTATCTGATCAAACAGACCCTCCCTGCCCATTCCTGGACAGCCGGGAAGGCAGCCTGGAATAGAGGGCATGTGAGCTGGACATTGAAAAAGTGAGTTGAGCTTTTCCTGGACAAGAGGCTGGAGAAGGTGTTCCTGGTAGGATGGCGGGAGACACGGCCGAGGCACAGGCTACGAAGCCTTCCAAGCACAACTTAACTAAATGTCGACCAATAATGAATAAGTTTTTAAAGCACATTTTAAAACACCCCAAAAGCTCATCGACAGGTGAGCTACCACATATCCAAACAGCAGAATATGACTCAGCAACAAAAGGAACCAACTACCTACCGATAAACGCCAACACGGAGGAGCCACAAAAGTATCATGTTAAATTTTATGAGCCAGAGAGAGAAACTACATGTGATTTCATGTAAAGGGCATTCTGGGGAAGGGACAACAAGCCAGATCAGGGGCTGCCAGGGGCTGGGGTAGAGGGAAGGCCCGACTGTAACAGGACGTGAGTGACGACTCCTGGTGATGGACATGTCCCAGATCCTGATTCTGACTGCCTCACAGGTGAGCTGTAAACATATGATAAACCCCAGTAAACTGTAAGTTGAAAAGGATGAATGATCTGGAGCAATCTTAAAAACATTATGCTGACATTTTTGACAGTTTTGAGAGATGACTCATCTACATAAATTCACCCACTTATAAAGCATACAATTCAGCAGCTTCTAGTACATTCACAGGGTTGTGCAACCATCCCCACCGTCTAGTTCCAAAATGTTCTCATCACCCAAAACAAAACCTTGTACCCAATCATGCCCCCAGTCAACCTCCGGCAACCACTAATCTATCATCCGTCTCTATGGATTTTCTGGACTTTTCAGATAACTGGAATGGGATGAGTCTTGAAATGCGTCAATAACACTTTCTAAAAAACAAGCAGAGATAGAAAAGATCAGGGACTTTTTTCACTGACCGTAGGGCTCTCCCGGCTCACAAATAAGTCGGCTCCTTTTCCCATGTAGTTTGTAAAGAAGGAAAATAGTCATCACTTGTTTTTAAAAAGGATGCATATGACGGGGCCTCTCTGGTGGTGCAAAGGGTGAAGCACCACACTATGAAGCAATCCGCAGTCTCTGCAGCACGAGTTCAATCCCCGGTCGGCCAGGATGCAACCTACATGGGAAAGCAGACCTCTCCTGTCTCCCCGCTGCTCCCCTCAGCAGTGTATTTCAGTTTGCCTGCCTGTTCTGTTCCCCACTCTGTCTCTGGCGATTCCTCTCACCCCCCACCCCCTGCATCTCTGGCCTATACCGCAGCTCTTGCATGCATAAATAAATAAATATTTTTTTTTAAAAAAAGGATGCATATGAGTTCACCATGTGCTTTGCAGGATTATTCACAGCAGCCAAAAGGTGGAAGCAACCCAACTGCCCATCCCTGGGTGAATGAATGAATAAAATGTAGGCTTTTCACACGGTGGAATTTTATCCAGCCTTAAAAAGGGAGAAACTTCTGACACATCTTAGAGTATGGAAAACATGGAGGACATTACGGTGAGAAGAATAAGCCAGACACAAAAGGATGATACTGTAGGAGCCCACTTACATGGAATAGTTCGTTTCATAGAGCGGAAGTAGCTTGGCCGGGGCCAGGGGCTGGGAGGGGGTTGGGGAGTTAGTGTTCAGTGGAGACAGAACATGACCCTTACAAGATGGAAAGAGTCCAAGGCTGATGGGGGTGAGGTTTGCACATCAGTGTGTGTGCACTTCACGCCCCAGAACTGCACATTCAAAAATGGTTAAGATGGTCAATTTTATGGGATGGGCACTTTACTAAAGTAAATTTTTAAAATTGGGAGGAAAATAGGTGAATTAGATCCCAATAAAACAATCTGAAAGGCCATGAATATTAGCATATCAGAGTCACTATATGAAAATAAATCCAGGGTCCAGAGGGGAGGGTTGACTTGCCCTCAGAAAGTTCCAGCAGACCCCCCTCCTTTAGAGTATGTTCTGTTTTCTGGGTCAGGCTATTTTTTTTTAAGATTCTTTTCTTTCAATGCACACAAGAACTGGGGAGCAGGCCAGAGGTGCAGGGGATGACAGGGTTCACCAGAGACAGAGTGGGGAGCAGAACAGGCGGATCTACTGACATCCACTGCTGAGGGGAGCAGAGTGGGTGAGAGGAGAGGTCTGCTGCGCCCTGTGGGCCAGCTCCCTGGCCAGGGATCGAACTCAGGCCCTCACGGTGACAGCACCAAGACTTAACCCCGAGGCCACCAGGGAGGCCCTGGGTCTGCCTAATTTTGCTCAACTGAATGTTTCCAAAGTGTGTCCCATTTTTGCTGATTCATGTTCCTTTGGATAAATGCACCTGGTTCGTCCATCCCTTCACCTGCTGATTGACACTGATGCTTCCAATTTGGGCTTGTTCTGAATAAAGCTATGAACTTACCAAACAAAATAACAACGTGTTACTGCCAATGAAATAAACCTACTGTGGAGCAGCCTCCAAAATGCTTTGGGGGGTAGGGTTTCATAACCCTACTCCGGACCGGCCAAGGGCAGGTATTATTAGCATGTTCAAAGAGTAATGTGATCACACTGGGCAAAGGAGGCAGACATGAGGGAACACTAGCGGACGCTTCCATGAGCGGGACAGAGGTGGGGTCCCCCTAGAGTGGGGGGAAGGCTTCTCAGGGCACTGCAAATGTCTCCCTTCCAGACTGCGGGGCTGAGCTCACCCCCACACTGAGTGTGCATTTCCCAGTCAGCTCCGTCTCCCCAATGAGATTCTGAGGTCACACTGTAACGACTTTTTTAATCGAAGTGACATTGTTTGCGACACCGTATATGATTTAGGGGGACAGGTTCACACCATCAGATGAGCGTCACCACCCCACACCCACCACCAACGCCCCTACAGTTCTCCCGTAGAGCCCCCCGGAGCCCCCTCCCCTGTTTGCTCCCACCCCTGCCACACCCCACCCCACATGGGAACCTCAGCTCTGCAGTCAGAGGCCAGGGGGTTCTGGGGTTTGGTTCTGTCTGTTCCTTTGCTTTGTTTCTTTATACTCCACATGAGTGACATCATCCAGTGTCCGTCTTTCTCCTTCACACTTATTTCTCTTAGCATTGGGCCTTCCAGTTCATCCACGGTGTTGCAAATGGCAACATTCCCACCAACTTTCACAGCTGAGCAATAAAAATAGTCCATCCTGTGTGGACACTGGGTTGTTTTCATAGCATGGTTACTGCAAATAGTGCAGCGATGAAGCAGGTTTCCTTCCAATCCATGTTTTTGTATTCTTTGGGCAGAGACCTGGCGAGGAATTGCAGGATCACTGGGTAGATCCACGGTTCATACTGGAGGCCCCAACCTGCTGCTCTCACAAGGGCTGGCCGTCCGCACTCCGCCCGCAGTGTTGTCAAGGGTCCTTCCCCCACACTCTTGCCAGCACGTGCTGTTTCTGGCCTCTGACAAGGGCTGTTCTCGCGGGGGGGGGGGGGGGGGGCAGCTCCGGGTGGCTTGATCGCCACTTCCCTGGTGCTGAGAGAGGAAGAGGCTTTTCTCACGAGCCCGTGGGCCGCCGTCTATCTTCTTTAGAGAAACGTCCATTCAGCTCTTCGGTCCATTTCTGATTGGGTTATTAGCTTTTTGTTAAGTTGTGTGAGTGCTTTCTAAATCTTGGATATTAATCCCTTGTCAGATGTGTGATGTGCAAATACGCAAATACGCAAATATTTTAAAACGAAGGATTAACTGCAGGTGAGCAAAGGCCTTGAACAGACGTTCCCTAGAAAGACCTACAGATGCCAGTAAGGCCAGGAAAAGGTGCTCCAAGTCCCCAGTTTGCTGACGACTGGAGTAACGTCAGGTGCGGTCTGCACCGTGAGGATGGCCATGAGGATGGCCACCAGAGAAGAGAAAGCACAGTGACATGCTGGTGAGGACGGGGGAACTAGAACCTTCGTGCAGAGACACTCGGAACAAAAAAAAAAAAAGGCAGAACAAGTTGCATAAACTAGAGAATCAGTAAGAGATAGTATGTAGTTTTGCTCAAGATGACTTCATTCTATTTAGGATAGGGTTTTAGGTATCTTACGGATAAACTGAAAAAAAAAAAAAAAAGTGTGTTCTTAA